GGTATCGTTAACTAGCGACAGCCAATGGCAAGGACAATCCTGGTGAAAAGCGCAACTCTCATAGGCTGCGTTCAGCAGAGAAAGCGCTCAGTTATCGTCTTGTCAACACTCGACGTTGATTCGTTGGTTCTAAAAGTAAGAACCAATCACATTCGATTGCTACTAAGCGGTTTTCTTTGCTGAACGCGGCTATTGGTTGCGTTCCGATATTCCATTGCCAGTACTGAAAATCTATAGTTCATGTTACGTACACTATAGATTTTCTGTACTGGCAATGAATATCGAAACTCAACCATAAATTGCTCGTAACTAGATATTGCAAGCAACGCAACAAAAGAGATAGTGATTTAAATTTAGCACAAGACATTGATATAAAATATTAATAATAAATAAATTTGATAAAATATTAATATAAAAGGCAAAAGAGAGGGATAAAGGAGAAGACAGACTCTTTACAAGAGATCCTTATATAATTGAATTTCATTAACGCATTTGACGCGTATGCACGAAAAATGCTGATTATATATGTACTGGACTGTATCAGATTATATGCATCAAAGATTGAAATTTAATCCATCAAAAGAAATTTTAGCTCTTTTTGTTTTGATTTTAATAATTCCGAAATCTTTAATTTTCAATTTTCAATGCATAGTAGTTTGATGGATTTTACGTTCGTCATACAACGAGCTTGTCAAATCGATTAGCTATTAGGGCTAGAGTCCAAAATGGTGTAAAATTCCTCTCCGAGGAAAATTTTACTCGATATCCTGGAATCAATCAGAAACGGTCGAAAAAGTTTCGGAACGGCCATCGAGCAAGGAATAAGGGCTCTTGCACACAGGACGCGTCCTGTGTGTAGGAGCCCTAAAATTTTTTATATCATTTTGGAACTTAGCCTAGATAGAGAATTTTTAAGGTTTCAAAAGTTTCTTGTAACGACAGCCAGTCAATCTCGATACATCCGACAAAAATTCACTGCTAGAGTATTGGAAATCTATAATATACGTCACGTGAACTATAGATTTCCAGTACTGGCAGTGAATTTTGGAACACAACCCTTATAGCTTAATGACGTAATGCAATGTTTTGCGTTGTTGCAGATGAGGAGATTGAGAATTGTTTTTCTGGAAGAATTCTCTTTTTCATAAATTTTCTTTTCTAGGATATAGTGGCTGCATTCTGATATTCACTGCCAGTACTGAAAATCTATAGTGCACGTGATGTAAACTATAGATTTTCAGTACTGGCAGTGCATATCGGAACGCGGCAAGTATTAATTTTATTAAGCCAGGATGTGAAAATGTTTGTCGCACGGTAAAAAATTAATATTAGTCAATCTTTCGCTCTTACAAAGAAGCGATAAGTTGATCTGGCTATCGTGTCTGTTTTTATGGTATTTTGTCTGAATCATCACGCGATGACTAATCAACCTTTCATTTCTTCAGAAATAATAGATATGTAAGAAAGATGATTGACTACTATGCCGTTTCTTATTACACAATCGCGCATCCTGCATGCAAAAATCATGAAAAATATGTATGTTCGTTCAGCCGCACTCTAATGTACATTTTTATATTTAAAATAAAATTAATATATATACATATAGTCGGAACAAAATATATTAATTGTAACTATTGATAATTTTCAACATTATATATATGTATATATTTGTATATATAAATCTCAAATGAAAAATATGATCAAGTTTTATATATAATCTAAATTATTCTTAAAATAAATCCTTTTCAATTTTACTACATTTTATATTTTCTTTAATATGCACATCTATTTATCTAAATGTCAGAATATATGTAAAGTTATAGAGCTAAATAAAAATTGAAAAAAAAAAAAAAAAT